GCTGTGCAGGTCAGCTTCATTGTAAAGATGCGTCACTAAATTACTGGAGATTTTAGTCTCTTGAGCCAGCTCTGTATCTGCTCTTTGTGATAAATTATTTTCTATGCTACTTTTACTCGTAATTTCTTCGACTGAAGCCTGCTTTGACCGTGTATGACTTAGTGTTTCCGAATGTGTGAATGTCTGCAGCATTCCAGCTTTAGTTGGAGACCCTTCTGATTCCACATCTGGCTTTATTGTTGCCGCGGCTGGGGCCGAAGTAGATTCACCGATATCAGTACTAAGAAAAGGACTCTCTCTATTAGTCATTGAAGGAAAAAATTCATCTTGACGGTCAGCCACGCCTCGTTGAGTAGTGAATCGTTTAATAAACGAATCACGGCGTTCAGCTTTGGCATTTCTATCGCTACCGCAGACAATTATTCCAGATCCGCTTTGTTTCTGCCTGGAGGTTGACGACGCCGTAAGAGCTGCACGTAGATAGCTCCACTTTTGAGGTCGCGCAGCAACATGACTGGGAGAAAGGCTGGAAGACGGGAAAGTGCAACTAACTGCCTGTTCAGGAAGGTTGGGGTTCTCAGATGTGGCTGGAGAATGGGCCATAATTATATTGCTTGGAGAACCAGAAGAATTATTTGATAATCTGTGGCCGAATTGCGATTCATTCAACATGTTATAAATCCTTATTGAATGATCCTGAAATTCTTGAGATCCAAGTTCATCAATTGGTTTTACTTCTCTCAGATCCTTTAAAAGCTTCCGCTGCTTCACATCAGAAGTGGACTTATCATCAACAATTTTGGAATTATTTCTAGCTGTGTCTGTCGTCACAGAGATGCAGGGCAATAACGAATGGCCATCTTGCAGGGCTAAACTGTTGCTGCGCATTGAAGGATAATGTTTATTCATCCAACTGAGTTTTTCGCTGTGCTCTGCCGCTAACTTTTTGAAGGAGTCACCTGACAGAGAATTCTGTTGCTGTTCAATATGATCTATGGTTTTGTTTCGAGGAATTCCTATGACCTGATATTTTTGCTGGCGTTTAGTTGTGATGCGCCCTCTTTTGTCCAAAGACGGATATATCGGCCAGGTTTGCTCTAGATCAAAAGGCAGCAGACCGCGTTGCTCGAAATCTATATCACTCTTCGTAGCTTGATGGCTCAAATCATTATTTTCATCAAAAGAAGACTCAAATTCCTCAATTTTCTGAGATTTTTTTCTTGCATTCCTCTCTCTATCTGCAGAGTCTATAAATCCAAATTTGGCTTCGTCCTCACTCTCTTCTTTATCACATAAGTTCTCCATGCCTCGTTTTTGTGACTTCCTTGCTGCAATTTATCATAAATCTGTTATTTATAGACAAGGACGTCATCAATGCGGATTGTAGTTATTCGTTTTGGACACTGTATCTTGATTTTATATTAGAGTAGAACTATCGTTATGCTGCTTTGAATGAAACATGCTTGAGACCACAAGGTAACGGTATAAAAGCAACTAGACATACAGTACGAGCAGGTAAGATAGAATATACGAAAGATTCGTGTAATTGGCCGAAAGCGAAAACGCATTTGGTTGGCCAGTCGTACCGATGCATTTCAGAGTAAAACTAAAAGTGCAGTTTAGCACTACAAGAGGTAGGTTATAAAAATAGACTAGGTTTATGAAAGTAATTGGTGAGATTTCGCGGTTTTTTATTAATCTC